CTACTGGTATACTAAGTGAATTGGCCTACTGGTATACTAACTGAATTAGCCTACAGGTATACTAACTGAATTGGCCTACTGGTACACTATGCGAGTAGGCCTACTGGTATACTAACTGAATTGGCCTACTGGTATACTAAGTGAATTGGCCTACTGGTATACTAACTGAATTGGCCTACTGGTACACTATGCGAGTAGGCCTACTGGTATACTAACTGAATTGGCCTACTGGTATACTAACTGAATTGGCCTACTGGTATACTAACTGAATTGGCCTACTGGTATACTAACTGAATTGGCCTACTGGTACACTATGCGAGTAGGCCTACTGGTATACTAACTGAATTGGCCTACTGGTATACTAAGTGAATTGGCCTACTGGTATACTAACTGAATTGGCCTACTGGTATACTAACTGAATTGGCCTACTGGTATACTAACTGAATTGGCCTACTGGTATACTATGCAAATCGACAATGTACAAATTCATCAGCACTTTAAAATAATGAGCGTTGTTAAGCATTTTACTAATACGATTATTAGGCATTAATTATGATTAGAACTCGATTTTTAAGTATAAACTATATCAGCAGCACATTTTTTGAGAAAAAAAGTTGTTGTAGACGTCATTGCTGCTGTTTGAATGTCAATTCAAGCACTACCCATGACGCCCTATGAATGACGCCAAATCAGCGCATTCAGTTGCTAAGGCAGCTATGAGGGAACTTGGGACACAGAAAGACACATTACCGTCTGGGTAATAGTAATACCCCTGAATATGCCAGAAACGTGTGCACCATTGAACTTTGCTGCTTACCAAAGTACATATGTACTGACTCTTTGATTTCTATTACCATAAGATAATAATGATTTTCTAAATTACATCTGATTAAGCGAACCAGTAAATTCCAACATCCATCAACTCAAGATGACCAGGCTTATTGTTATATAATGAGTGGCTGACCACATGAAATTGCCTTAATGAAAAACAAACCAATAAATACACTACACTATGTAAGTCGGGATTAACTTTGACGTCAGTTTAGAAATGCCATCGATCTGATATACTCGATAATCTCTAACCAATAACAACAAAACTTGCTAAACACTGACAATAACTCCCTTGGTATCTCTGGTTAGGGTAGTGGGGAGTGTGTTGTGAAATACCAAACTCAAAACAACGCGATTAATAAAACATAAAATTTATATTATATTTTTATGTGTGTGGTATCGTGATATCGGTTTGTTTTCGTATAATATTCTAAAAGGTTTTTCAAGATTGTAATGCCTGACTTTGTAAATCTTTTTTTTTATATTTGGTTACCTCTTGGCCAAAATTTTGTTTTCTAGCAATTCCTAAGTAAACAATCCGCTATCTAGGATAAAAATCAGTCTGAAAATCCCTGCCAATACAAAAAAATAAACCGGAGTTATCTCTCCTAAACTTTCTTGAATATTCTTATATAAAACAACAGGGGATGGGAACTTGGGATATAGGCATGATTTTTGTTCGTTTATAATTACTTAAATTTTTAAAATAGAATAGAATCTAGTAGAAAAAAGAATTGCGCACCAAGTGAACGCAAAACAAAATGTGTAGAATAGTGCGGAATATTATTAGTACTTTATAAATTCACATGCGTTTTTTTGATAAATCGGAAATAGCGTAAATTACCACTTCCGTTCAACGGAAATAACTCAATAGAAGGCAGGGAATTAGATCTTCTACATACATGTGAAATTTCATTTTTCTATCTAAAATAATACTCAAGTTATAGGCTTTTGAAAAATTCAAAGTAGAAAAATTTCCACTTCCGGTTATCGGAAATCTCTCAAAAGCTGAAACGTATCTACGATTTTGATATAATACTTAAAAATGAAATCACATCAATCTAGCTATAACGGTACTCAAGTTATCTTGTTTACAGACACACACACATATACACACACATACATACATACACTCAGACATACGGACAATATTGCAAAACAATGTTTTTTCCAACTCATGGAGGTGTAAAATGTCGAGATTTGCAAAAATCTTTTTTTTTGCACGATTACAATACTTTCTCTATTCTTCGTATATACGAGAAAGTAAAAATCATAGACAAATATTCTCGAAACGAAAATCCTAGTAAAAAAAATCCCATGACGAAACTTGTAGCAATTATCTAGGCCAATAATCTCGAAGCTAACAACTTTTTAGCTGAAAATTTGCGAACTATCAAGTCTCAAGCTATTAGTCCTTATGATAACAACCCCCAATAATCCCCAACAGCCATCAACAATCCCCAACAATCCTCATCAATCCCCAACAATCCTCAACAATCCCCAACAATCCTCAACAATCCCCAACAATCCTCAACAATCCCCAACAATCCTCATCAATCCCCAACAATCCTCAACAATCCCCAACAATCCTCATCAATCCCCAACAATCCTCAACAATCCCCAACAATCCTCATCAATCCCCAACAATCCTCAACAATCCCCAACAATCCTCATCAATCCCCAACAATCCTCAACAATCCCCAACAATCCTCAACAATCCCCAACAATCTTCAATAATCCCCAACAATCCTCATCAATCCCCAACAATCTTCAATAATCCCCAACAAACTCCAATAAGCAGCCTGTGTATTACAATTTCGATCCTAACAATCATGGATTGTTCACGCTTATCACATCATAGACAAAAATTATGTTTGATTCATGCTTGATTTACCCTCAAACTTGCTTATTTATCGATACCAACTAAATATAGCAATGATATTGATCCTATGGATGACATATGGCAACCGCTGCAAGTACATTAAAGAGTTTTGTAAGGATTGATAAGGTGTAACCTACACGAGGTTTGGTTGTCTAGCTTTACAATGATGTTCAATCAATGATATACGGTTTTTTTTTTACAAAACAAGATGCTTACTTGAATAATACAGTGATAATAACAGCAATAAGACTTGTTTATTTCAATAAGACACGATGTTTATTTCATTAAGACACGATGTTTATTTCATTAAGACACGATGTTTTTTTCAATAAGACACGATAGTTATTTCAATAAGACACGATAGTATTTCAATAAGACACGATAATTATTTCTATAAGACACGATAGTTATTTCAATAAGACACGATAATATTTCAATAAGACACGATAATTATTTCTACAAGACACGATATTTTATTTCAATAAGACACGATATTTTATTTCAATAAGACACGATATTTTATTTCAATAAGACACGATATTTTATTTCAATAAGACACGATGTTTATTTCAATAAGACACGATATTTTATTTCAAAAAGACACGATATTTTATTTCAATAAGACACGATGTTTATTTCAATAAGACACGATATTTTATTTCAATAAGACACGATATTTTATTTCAATAAGACAGATATTGGAGATATCAATAAGACACGATGTTTATTTCCATAAGACATGATGTTTATTTCAATAAGACAGATATTGGAGATATCACTAAGACACAATGTTTAATTAAATAAGACACGATGTTTATTTCAATAAGACACGATGTTTATTTCATTAAGACACGATGTTTATTTCAATAAGACACGATAATTATTTCAATAAGACAGATATTGGAGATATCAATAAGACACGATGTTTATTTCCATAAGACATGATGTTTATTTCAATGAGACACAATGATTGTTTCATTAAGACACGATGTTTATTTCAATAAGACACGATGTTTATTTCCATAAGACACGATGTTTATTTCAATAAGACACGATGTTTTTTTCAATAAGACACGATAATTATTTCAATAAGACACAATGTTTATTTCACTAAGACACGATGTTTATTTCTATAAGTAGCGATGTTTATTTCACTAAGACACGATGTTTATTTCACTAAGACACGATGTTTATTTCTATAAGTAGCGATGTTTATTTCACTAAGACACGATGTTTATTTATATAAGTAGCGATGTTTATTTCAATAAGACACGAGGTCGCACGACCTAAGATGTAAACAAGATTCGTCTAGAGTTAGTTTCTAAAAATATCAAGTAGCCTTATTGATGTAATACGCGAACCATGAAGAAAGATAAACATAAAAAAATTGAATGAAAATTGCTGAGTTATAACTTTTTTTTTATCTGCAGGATCAAATTCTTTCCTATTGTTTATCTTGGTAAACATTGCATTATGTTAGTTTTTAATAACTGACTTTCAATACTTCTTGTGACAGATGTAAATATGCACAGATGTGTAGCGTGTTATGTAACAAACATACATCTATTATTTGTATATATATATATATATATATATATATATATATATATATATATATATATATATATATATATATATATATATATATATATATAAAATCACTACTTATTGTCTTGGGGACATGTGCCCTATACTGGAACTAGAGATCTCCATGTTGATAGCTGATGGATCTATCAACCAACCACCCCGTCTTTTACTTTCAGTCTGAGTCACCATATACATTTACTCTTCAACACAATTTCAAGGTTATCAACGACTGATAGATCGACAAGTTAGTTAGATATCTTGTATGCGTACATTCTTTAACACACATGGGAGTATGTGAGAAATCAAACATACGCATACTCTCTAAAAGTTAACCCATTAGCGAATGATTTAACACATCCATAATAAACATAAATTAACGGTAGCGAAAGGTAATTTTGATTTGACACCAATATTTTTTTCAATATTTTACTAAAACAAATTTTAAGCATGACTCTTATTGTATTTACTAAGTGTATCGAGAATCGACTAAACAGTTCAATATCTGTGACTTTACAACTCAGTCTAATCGATGAAGACGTACGGTGATCCTAAACTGCATTGTCTATTGATTGCGAAACAAACAATATTGTCCAAGCACGTACTTCTCACATCTTCATTGCTCAACTCGTTTTTGAAATCAAATCTGATTGGTTGGCTAAATACGTCAACAGTTAATCTTGTTTTGATTGGTTGAATTATTGAGAGAGCGAGTTCGATGTTAATAAAGGTACTAAATACCCGGAGATCTTTCAACATTACAGAGTAAACTGGAACAGTCAAATCTTTCTGATTTCTTTGTCTGTTAGGTAAGTAAGTAAGTATATATATATATATATATATATATATATATATATATATATATATATATATATATATATATATATATATAAATATATATATATATATATATATATATATATATATATATATATATATATATATATGTATATATATACATATATATATATATATATATGTATATATATATATGTATATATATATATGTATATATGTATATATATATATATATATATATATATATATATATATATATATATATATATATATATATATATATATATATATATATATAATTTTACAAACGCTTAAGCTAACGAATGATATATTTATAAATATCAGTTAACTTTTGAAAGTAAATCGATAGTGCACACTTATTTGTCCCTATACTCTTGTAGCAACAGATCAATACAACTTTATTGCTATTTTGCCCACGTTTCGTGACTTTTTTGTGACAATTTGTCTAGTGCTAAAGGGTTTGTTATGATTTTTCATCAGTGCACATTACACTTATGTTGTTTCGAGTCTTGATTGCTTTGGAATGTATTTGAAATTTTGAGCTGGCTTTCAAGTTTCATTAAAACAATGTGTGATTTTTATGTAACACAATCCAGTAAGTGATAGGGGTATTTTTTAATAGTCGCATAGAATCACATTTCTATAGAACTATTCATAAAATTTGTATTTATTATGCGTTTTTATTGTATCATTTAATTAAATATTTTAAAATGATGCATTGCTGATTACTTTATATTATTTTACAATACTACTTGAGAAAATATGAGATACATTATACTAAAGTCGATTCATTCGTCTCTTTACAAGGTCAGAATTCGCTAGCTTATTTAGGTGACATCAAAACTATTTCTTAACTGACCAATAATTGCTAGTCCACCTAGCTTTGATTGACCTTCACGGGAGAGTTTCGTCCTGCTTGTACACCTAGCTCTAATGGGCCAATTATATTATCACGGCGTGCTTTTATAAGTTCATCTATATCAGCTTATAGAGAAGGGGGCGGCGTGGTCGAGACGGTAAAGCTCAAGGTTGCTAAACCCTCGGGCAGATGAGGCTCGTTAGCTAAGGACAGCCACTCTTCTAGGAGAGACAACTCCAAAATCAAACAACTGCTGCCTTCTAGTTTGTTCTTGGTTGGACAAAGGCTATGGAAGCAAATCCAAAAAGAAAAGCAGGCTGAAATCGGAGTCAATGGACCAAATGGCGCATAACCAGTTGACAAGTATCCTTAATTGTGTTGGAGGTGGATCCATTCCAACACTAAAAATTAAGAACGAAGAATAAGAAAGAAGAAGCTTATAGAGTTTGACTTGAGATGTTACCCTTCTTTACCTAGCAGATGAGACCTTTTGATTTTATGCAACTTCCCAAGTAGGCTTTAACATAATATCTCAATTAAAACATGTCTCGTTAAAAAATAAAATTAATCTTTCCATGCGTCCAACCTAATATCATAATAAACCGACAATTTTTTTTAAGTCTGTGAATACTTAATAATATCTATTCAATAAATGTTTTATTTCTTTTAATTATGTTTTTTTATCAAATGTACAATTTAATATTTTTAATGGCTCATTTGAGTACCAAACTCAATTGAGCCAATAAAACACTAATTATTAGTTTTTTACCCTTTTTAAAATAAAATAATTTGAAGAAAAAAAAAATGTGCCACAAAAAATTATTTTATTTTTCAGAAGTCCAACCGACAATTTGAACTAGATATGGCTTACAGTTTCAAAATTTTATCTGGCTTTCTGGTGCTACTCGGGGCTACACATGTACACAGTAAGTGGATAATAAAACCTCCATATAAAATATAAAGCGTTATTTAAAACGCGTTCGTAAATTCCTGATTGTAGCTCATACTCATAGTCAATGCACCTTTTTAAAAGGTGATTTAACCAAGCTAGGACGGTTATCGCTGAAAATAATATTTGAGTACTTTCCCTTTGCAAGCACATCCGGATCAATATCGGATGTATAGATTTATTTTTTACATCAATTTACAAACTAATCATTTTCATAAATATAAAACAATACTAAAAGTTTTGAAAAATTAGTTTTAAAACTTTACAGTGGTGCCTAATATTTTCTTCAATTTGTAAATGTACACTAAACGCTACACACTACACACTAAATATTACACACTTGAGTGCTGTGTTGGGAACAAGCCGTGTTAGACATCGAGCTAACTTTATGTTTTGGTTTTACAGGTGCCTGTGTTGTGTACACCAAGGTGTACCAGTTTTCTGGGCCATCAACCATCACGTCAGTTCAGGTACTTCAGCCAACTACACCTGCTATATAAGTATACACGTAGGCCTTACTTCAGCCAATTACACGTGCGATATAGGTATACACGTAGGCCTTACTTCAGCCAATTACACGTGCGATATAGGTATAAACGTAGGCCTTACTTCAGCCAATTACACGTGCTACATAGGTAAACACATAGGCCTATGTGTGAACGTTTAATTAGAAATAGATATAGTTATTGGCATGGGGATGAAGAGGTAGACATAGATATATACACAGACAGAGACAGACCCAGACTCAGGTCCAGACCCAGACCGAGGTCCAGTTCAAGACCCAGACCCAAACCCAGACCCAGGTCCAGACCCAGACCCAGGTCCAGACCCAGACCCAGGTCCAGACCCAGACCCAGACCCAGACCCAGCCCCAGCGGTATACACATACATGTCTGTTGATATTTAGCTATTCCTCAGGCCTGCAAAGACTTCTGTGTCTCCCTAAAATCCTGCATATCGTATATCCGCTACCAAGGAGAATGTGTGGTGGCTCAGGTTGGCGTGGGTGGTGCTACGGAGACAGATGGATCTGGATATGTTGTTTGTGGTGAGCTAAAACACGTTGATCACGCTATGCTTGTGGGACGGTGTGGGCGTAGGATAGAGCGGTTGACTTCTTATCCGAAAATCTGTTTCAGATCCAGATCTCGATTTCGTACGACGTTCCTGAGACCACCCAGCTCTAATGGGTACCTTACTCCCCTTAAAGTACCTATACCTATACCTATACCTATACCCATACCCATACCCATACCCATACCCATACCCATACCCATACCCATACCCATACCCATACCCACACCCACACTCACACTCACACCCACACCCACACCCACACCCACACCCACACCTAATCTATAGCTATAGCTATAGCCACAGCCACAGCCACAGCCACATCTACATCCACATCCACATCCACATTCACATCCACATCCACATCCACATCCACATTCACATCCACATCCACATCCACATCCACATCCACATCCACATCCACATCCACATTCACATCCACATCCACATCCACATCTACATCCACATCCACATCCACAACTATATCTATATCTATATCTATATCTATACCCATACCCATACCCATACCCATATCCATATCCATATCTATATCTATATCTATATCTATATCTATACCTATACCTATACTTATACCTATACCTATACCTATACCTATACCTATACCTATACCTATACCTATACCTATACCTATACCTATACCTATACCTATACCTATACCTATACCTATACCTATACCTATACCTATACCTATACCTATACCTATACCTATACCTATATCTATATCTATATCTATATCTATATCTATATCTATATCTATATCTATATCTATATCTATATCTATATCTATTTCTATTTCTATTTATATTTCTATTTCTATTTCTATTTCTATATGTTTATCTATATGTTTATCTATCTCTCTCTCTCTCTCTCTCTCTCTCTCTATATATATATATATATATATATATATATATATATATATATGTACAATCTAAATCTAGATGAGATTGCTTCAGCCACCACGAATAACAAACCCAGGTCAAAATCTAGATCAAGATGTAAGTAAACATCATAACATCATTCTTTATGTGTGATTGAGTGATTGATAAAATTAATTACTAATGCAAATTGGTGCTAGAACATTATCAGTTTCAAACTTTTGTTCAAGTCAGACAAAGCTATCAATTCTTTGACAAGTGTTATAACAAAGTAACTTTTATTGAATTCGTCCACAGCACGTAGTGGCAGCAAATCCAAGTAAGTGACGTTATTTATTTAACTAATTAAAGTATGTGTGTGTTGCACGTAATTACAAATTCAAATTTGAATACTTTCTCATAATCATACAATTTAAATAATTTAGGATCAAATACGTCACTTTTAGTTTATAATAATAAAGTGCAGTAATGAAGCTTTTGAGATGAATTGAATAATCCTTTAAATTGCATTTATAAATATGTATCTCCACGGGAATGTTTATGATGTTTTCATTTGAATGTTCTTTCTTAAAACAAAACATTGAATGTCAGAAATGTTAAATACATTTCACATTTCTGAAAATGTTCTCAAACTACTAAGGTAAAATATTAGAAATATGATAAAATCTCAAAGCGATCAGATAAAATAAAACTGCTGTCGTGTATGTTACGTGTAGGCATATTTGGGTTTAAGAGATTAATCTAATCCCAGTATTATCTAAGAGATTAATCTAATCCCAGTATTATCTATTATGTACAAATGATTAGTCACAAACTTTTTTCACTTCATCCTTTTACCCAAATGTTTTATTCTAACAATCATCAACTGGTATTCGATAAATGCGATTGATTATATAAAAAAAAGTTTGTTTTCTTATCTTTGTGTGTGTGGAAATATAGAGTTAACTTTTTTGTGATTGAACGATAATCAACAACCTTCTATCCTACAGCTCCCGCGGGGGTCGTCGACGCTTCATGTCTGGGCCGGGCCGTAGAAGGTAGGGGTCAAGGTTTAATTAGTGACAGGAGGTGGTGTCAAAGTTTAATTAGTGAACGCAGGTGGGGGTCAAAGTGTAATAAGTGAACGCAGGTGGGGGTCAAAGTGTAATAAGTGAACGCAGGTGGGGGTCAAAGTGTAATAAGTGAACGCAGGTGGGGGTCAAAGTGTAATTAGTGAACGCAGGTGGGGGTCAAAGTGTAATTAGTGAACGCAGGTGGGGGTCAAAGTGTAATTAGTGAACGCAGGTGGGGGTCAAAGTGTAATTAGTGAACGCAGGTGGGGGTCAAGTTGTGTGTAGTTAACGACGGTTTAATTATATCGTTGACGTACTAGCGACGATTGGCCAAGAAAAACGTAGTGAGACGATTAATAAAAAAAAATTAAATGACCAAATATTATAATACGAGCCGACCCGCGACGTATCATACGCCGCTATTTAGTTTGTTTTATTTTCTACTTATCAGTAATTCATAATTTGTGAATTCGACAATACTAATGCTGCCACTGAATATATTTGCTTTAAAACACTATCAGTGGCTCGTTATGGACGAGAAACCCCCCCCCCCTCCTTTCCCAAACCCCTACCCAACACCTCCCCCCTTGAAAGCAGCCTCCTCTTAGCTACCTCCCCTACGTTTAAAATAGTTTCAAACTAAATTATCTGCCCCTAATAGCCGTCAGTAAACCCAGCTCCACGAATGTGAACATTTAGAGTGAACACAGCTCACCAGACCATGTAGGGGTGGGTGTGATAGGGAGCGCGCTTGCAGCTTGTTTTCTAACGTCTCCCAGAAGAGAATTAGATATATGGATTGCATTGCCCCAAAGGATCGAAATGGGACGGCATGGTTGAATATTATAGCAAACGACTGCTAACCCGAAAGTCTTGAGTTCGAATCCAGGTTCAAGTTCGTCGAATGTCTTTGATTCCAACCAGCTCTGATGGGTACCTAACCCGTTAGGGAAAGTAATGGCGGCTGGGCATAGTGCCGCATGGGCCGTGAGGTTTGAAAGGTACTTGACCTTGTGTTTACTAAAGTATCAAGATTATAATAATAAAATATAATACAATAATACGAAAAAAACTACCATGTACTTCAACAAACCTTTTAAGTAGCATGGCCGTAGCATAATTATAAGAAATAAACCGGGAGTGATCTCCCCTAAACTTTTTCGAATATTCTTATATAACTTGGAATATAGACATGATTTTTTATTACTTAAACTTTTAAAAATAGAATAGAATCTCATAGAAAAAAGAATTGCGCACCAAGAGAACGCCAAAACAAAATGTGCATAATAGTGCGCAATATTATTAGTAATTTATAAATTTACATGCGTTTTTTGAGAAATCGGAAATAGCGTAAATTAGTACTTCCAATCAACGGAAATTACTCAAAATTTGACAGACGGTAGAGAATTAGATCTTTTACTTACATGTGAAATTTCATTTTTCTATCTGAAATATTACTCAAGTTATAGGCTTTTGAAAAATTCAAAGTAGAAAAAGTACCACTTCCGGTTATCGGAAATCGCTCAACAGTTGATCAGGATCTATGATTTTGATAAAATACATATGTATGAAATTTATTTAACCTAGCTGTAACGGTACTCAAGTTATTGTGTTTACACACTGACAGACAGACACACAGACAGACACATAGACATACGGACAAGATTGCAAAATTATGTTTTTCCGTATCAGTGAGGTGTAAAACGTAAAACTTTTTTGCATGATTACAAGACTTTCTCTATACTTCGTATATACGAGAAAGTAAAAAGTGGGTTAAAACTTAAAGTGTTAAAATTGGGTTATTAAAAAAGAGGGACTGGAAAAATAAAAACGATTCAAACGTACCTGCCAATAAAAATGTAAATAACTCACAAGTCCTGCATGCTGGGACGGTGGGGTCGATTGTAGAGCGTTCATCTGCTAGTGCGAAAGTCTCGAGGTCGGATCTTGGTACAGATTTGTGACGTCCCTGAGTCGACGCAGCTCTGATGGGTAGGCTACCTGACTTACGCTAGTAGAGGCTATTAGAGGCGACTAGGCTTCTGCTGACCACAGCATCACTTTATTTGCCGAGGTCAAGAAAAATATAAACTCTACTTCATCTGTCTTGTGGATCGTTAGGTCTGAACTTGACTTGTTTTACTACATACCGTTATTCAACATACACAATTTGTATATAAAATCTTATTTACAAGGAAATTTTTTTACTTTACTCAATATTAATAATTATACGACGCTTAATTATAATGTTACATATTGTTACTTCTATAATTCGTGACGTTCCTTTATCAGAGAAGTTATTAAACCAACAAAAATTATAATGTACATATTTTTACTTCAATAATAGTATTGTTGACCTTCTTTTATCACAGAAATCTTTGAACCAACGAAAACTGGTTTGGAAGCCATCTTTGTGAAGTTTACGTCCATCACGAACAGTCTCATCATATCTTCATGACGCTAGTAAACTTTATAAAAAATCTTATGTGATTTGAGAAATATGCGCTAGAAAATAAATCAGCTCAAGAGGTGTTGTTATGTATTAGTTGGAATAAAGTTATGAGAAACTGTTGATGTTTTTTTTCTAGTTACTTCCGGTAAATTATGTAAATTCGTTTTTTAGTAATATAGAAAAATTATTTTTAACCTAATTATTTGAAAAATAAAAGTTTTATGTTTAAAACGACTTATGAATACTTTTATAATTAACCTCATTTTCACTCATTAATTATTTTAGCTTTTTGTATGTAAAGCATATTTGCTATAAATCGTTTTACTTGCATTTTACATGTATGAATGTTGAATAGACCATTTAAATACAACTTTCACTTAATGTTCACAACAATAATACGATCTTCAGTATAACTTAGTTTTTTAATCCCTCTACAACTACTTAAACATCTTAGCATTACTAAATCATCTCAATATGACTAGTGTTTCCAAATACAAATTTACAAGACAGGAACCTTTACCTTTTATTGAATCGACTCTTAAAAAATAATTAATTGAAAATGGTAGTTTCTATGAAATTTATTTCATTATTACTAATACAAATAAACAGCGTAAGTCGTCTAAAGAAATTAAAAGCAATTACGTGTGCCATGTTAGTTTCGACCCAAGGTCTTCGTCAGCGAACAAGTGTGTGTTTAAATGTAAGAGTAAAGCAAAAACACTGGATACAATAATGGATTTGGATCGATTGTAGGAACCCGTATTGTCTAAAATCCACAATATTGTACAACGTTATACTATAGGCATGAAAAATCTATGTAATCATACTAAATTTTTGAAAAAATCTTTTTAAAAATATGGCAAGCGATAAAATTATACTTACGTTTGTAGAAATTAAAGCCGTTTAGGAACTATCGATTACACTCATTTTTATATTTGTGTATCGAATATAAGCCGTTGTAAAGCCGTTTAGAATTACTTTATCTATTCAAATATTTTTAAAAAACTGTCCTCAATCTCTCTTTGAGGTTAACCGGAATGGCAAGGGAGAGTAAAACAATATAAGTGAGAACAACTGTTTTACATGATAAAAACACTCAATAGTGATCTATGGTGTATACTAGTGTATAGCATAGTTTGCATTTATATTAAATAATATAAAATCCCCAATCACCACAACATCCTGACTCGAACGAAATGGAATTTATATAGAAAACATATACATATACCTGTGTTCGCACCCCCCCCCCCCCGCTCCGGAAACTCTTTAATCCCCCAGAAACACTGACGTGGTCCAGCCCACAAACCCACACCTGAGCCCATACATCCACACCTGGTACTCTATAAGTGGTCCAGCCCACACATCCACACCTGGTCCTCTATACGTGGTCCAGCCCACACATCCACATCTGGTCCTCTATACGTGGTCCAGCCCACAGATCTACACCTGGTACTCTATACGTGGTCCAGCCCACACATCAACACCTGGTACTCTATACGTGGTCCAGCCCACACATCCACACCTGGTCCTCTATACGTGGTCCAGCCCACACATCCACATCTGGTCCTCTATACGTGGTCCAGCCCACAGATCTACACCTGGTACTCTATACGTGGTCCAGCCCACACATCAACACCTGGTACTCTATACGTGGTCCAGCCCACACATCCACACCTGGTCCTCTATACGTGGTCCAGCCCACACATCCACACCTGGTCCTCTATACGTGGTCCAGCCCACACATCAACACCTGGTACTCTATACGTGGTCCAGCCCACACATCCACACCTGGTCCTCTATACGTGGTCCAGCCCACACATCCACACCTGGTCCTCTATACGTGGTCCAGCCCACACATCCACATCTGGTCCTCTATACGTGGTCCAGCCCACACATCAACATCTGGTACTCTATACGTGGTCCAGCCCACACATCCACACCTGGTCCTCTATACGTGGTCCAGCCCACACATCCACACCTGGTACTCTATACGTGGTCCAGCCCACACATCCACATCTGGTCCTCTATACGTGGTCCAGCCCACACATCCACACCTGGTCCTCTATACGTGGTCCAGCCCACACATCCACATCTGGTCCTCTATACGTGGTCCAGCCCACACATCAACACCTGGTACTCTATACGTGGTCCAGCCCACACATCCACACCTGGTCCTCTATACGTGGTCCAGCCCACACATCCACACCTGGTACTCTATACGTGGTCCAGCCCACAAAACCACACCTGGTCCTCTATACTGTAGTACTATCGCACACATCCACACCTGGTACTCTATACGTGGTCCAGCCCACACATCCACACCTGGTACTCTATACGTGGTCCAGCCCACACATCCACACCTGGTACTCTATACGTGGTCCAGCCCACACATCCACACCTGGTACTCTATACGTGGTCCAGCCCACACATCCACACCTGGTCCTCTATACGTGGTCCAGCCCACAAAACCACACCTGGTCCTCTATACTGTAGTACTATCGCACACATCCACACCTGGTACTCTATACGTGGTCCAGCCCACACATCAACACCTGATACTCTATACGTGGTCCAGCCCACACATCCACACCTGGTCCTCTATACGTGGTCCAGCCCACACATCCACACCTGGTACTCTATACGTGGTCCAGCCCACAAAACCACACCTGGTCCTCTATACTGTAGTACTATCGCACACATCCACACCTGGTACTCTATACGTGGTCCAGCCCACACATCCACACCTGGTACTCTATACGTGGTCCAGCCCACACATCCACACCTGGTCCTCTATACGTGGTCCAGCCCACACATCCACACCTGGTACTCTATACGTGGTCCAGCCCACACATCCACACCTGGTCCTCTATACGTGGTCCAGCCCACACATCCACACCTGGTACTCTATACGTGGTCCAGCCCACACATCCACACATGGTACTCTATACGTGGTCCAGCCCACAAAACCACACCTGGTCCTCTATACTGTAGTACTATCGCACACATCCACACCTGGTACTCTATACGTGGTCCAGCCCACACATCCACATCTGGTCCTCTATACGTGGTCCAGCCCACACATCCACATCTGGTCCTCTATACGTGGTCCAGCCCACACATCCACACCTGGTCCTCTATACGTGGTCCAGCCCACACATCCACACCTGGTCCTCTATACGTGGTCCAGCCCACACATCCACACCTGGTACTCTATACTGTACTCTATACTGTAGTACTATCGCACACATCCACACCTGGTCCTCTATACGTGGTCCAGCCCACACATCCACACCTGGTCCTCTATACGTGGTCCAGCCCACACATCCACACCTGGTCCTCTATACTGTACTACTGTCGCACACATCCTAGCACACATCAACTGTCAATCTACACGTAGACACCTCTCATCCCATAACACATAACACACAACAAAGGGCCACAACTGTGTACAAATAAAAAGGTACGAGCCCAGACCCATTTAGGTGTAGAATGAATTAAAAAGGTGACGCGAGTAGTTTACCTAAAACCATATTAGCAGTTAAAAATAAGGTTGTTCAGTCAGCTTTGTGATATATATGTATATATATATATGTATATATATATATATATATATATATATATATATATATATATATATATATATATATATATATATATATATATATATGTATATATATATATATATATATATATATGTATATATATATATATATATATATATATATATATATATATATATATATATATATATATATATATATATATATATATATATATATGTATATATATATATATATATGTATATATATATGTATATGTATATATGTATGTATATATGTATGTATGTATATGTATGTATATATATGTATGTATGCATATATATATATAAATATATATATATATATATATTTATATATATATATATATATATATATATATATATATATATATATATATATATATATATATATATATATATATATATATATATATATGAATTTTACACTTGTAAACTTGTGTGAAAAGTGTGTGTAAAAGCTTTCAACAAAAATTAAATGCTTAATTAATTATGTGACTCATCAAACCATTTCACTCCTTCACACACCAGTGACATGAAAATAAAAACAATGATTCCAATATTTACATGGATTTTTTAATACACTATATAAACTATTCAGCCGAAACTGACAATATATAGGAGTTAATTCCCTTGCATGTTCAAATCTACTTCTATATAAAAGACAAAATTTGTTTTTACTTTGTTGCATACGAAGAAGGCCTATAGAGGAAGTATTGTAATCGTGCATAAATCGAAATCGATGTTTTACACCTCCTTGAGTCGGTAAAACTTGGTTTTACAATTTTGTCCGTATGTCTGTGTGTATGTGTGCCTGTGTCTGTCTGTGAACATAACTTGAGTACCTTTACAGCTTAATAAGTATTATATCTTGTATGTTTGTAGTTCTGCTTCAACTTTGAAGCGATTTCCGGTTACCGGAAGTAAAACTTATTCTGTTTTCGGGTTTTCAAAAGCTTCTTATAACATGTATTGTTACAGATAGATGGACGAAATTTTAAATTTAAGTCAAAGATCTAATTCTTTGCCTTGTGACAAGTTTTGGAAAATTTCCTGTGACCGGAAGTAGAACTTTAAGCTATCTCTGATTTCTAAAAAACCACATAAATGAATTTATAAAGTTTTAATATTCCACACTATTTTCCACACATTGTTGGCTGTTCACTTGGTGCGCAATTCTTTTTTTCTACGAGATTCTATTCTATTTTTAAAAGTTTTGGTTATTAAGAATATGATTAAAAAGTAAGTCTATATCCCTAATTGCCATCCCCGTAGTGTTATATAAGAATATTCGAGAAAGTTCGTGGGAAACTACTCCCTCTTTTTAAAATTCACCAGTGGCCTTGTGTTTTCTCCATTTTTGTTCCTTTTGTCTAATGGTCTCAAATATCCATTTCATTACAATTATAAATTTATATACAAACAGTTGAAGTGCTTTTCAATATTAAAAAATGATATTTTTGTGTTACATAGTTTTTTCATTCATAAGAAGAGATACATTTGCTATTTTAAGCATATTATATATATATATATATATATATATATATATATATATATATATATATATATATATATGTGTGTATATATGTATGTATGTATGTATGTATGTATGTATGTATGTATGTATGTATGTATGTATGTATGTATGTATGTATGTATGTATGTATGTATGTATGTATGTATGTATGTATGTATGTATGTATGTATGTATGTATGTATGTATGTATGTATGTATGTATGTATGTATGTATGTATGTATGTATGTATGTATGTATGTATGTATGTATGTATGTATGTATGTATGTATGTATGTATGTATGTATGTATGTATGTATGTATGTATGTATGTATGTATGTATGTATGTATGTATGTATGTATGTATGTATGTATGTATGTATGTATGTATGTATGTATGTATGTATGTATGTATGTATGTATGTATGTATGTATGTATGTATGTATGTATGTATGTATGTATGTATGTATGTATGTATGTATGTATGTATGTATGTATGTATGTATGTATGTATGTATGTATGTATGTATGTATGTATGTATGTATGTATGTATGTATGTATGTATGTATGTATGTATGTATGTATGTATGTATGTATGTATGTATGTATGTATGTATGTATGTATGTATGTATGTATGTATGTATGTATGTATGTATGTATGTATGTATGTATGTATGTATGTATGTATGTATGTATGTATGTATGTATGTATGTATGTATGTATGTATGTATGTATGTATGTATGTATGTATGTATGTATGTATGTATGTATGTATGTATGTATGTATGTATGTATTTATGTATGTATGTACGTATGTATGTATGTATGTACGTATGTATGTATGTATGTATGTATATATTTTTTTTTTATTATTTATTTATTTATATATATAATAGAAAATTATCAGAATTATTATTTAGAAGAATTTCACTGCGTATATGATTGATATAAAAACTAATAGGGAAATATATGATTATATGTTAAAATATGAATGAATCCGTAAGTGGCGTTTGATGTTTTGGTAGAATGTTCATGGTCTGGAACTGTCCTGTTGATAAGGAGGCATCATTAGCACGTTGATGGTGATAGACGGCTGCTCGCCTGTCATGCTGCTGCCAATCTCACCTGTATAGAGAGAAGTACTTTACAATCTCCAAAGGTAATAACTAATATGCAGGTGTGTTTAAAATATTTGAACATTAAAGTTTAAAAAAAATTAGTTTACACATTTTTTAGCATTATTGAAAACCATATAAGTAAAATTATTATGTCCGAAAATGTACATTTCATCAGTTGGAATTATCACGAAAGTTTTAAGTAAATATATAAGTGTTTTTTTTTAAAGATCGTAATACTCTTAAATACTGTTAGGGTGAACTTAACAGAGGTGTTGCGACCGATTGCTGTGCCGGGAGGTGGCGAACTATCAAGTGCGCCCCCCCTATTAGTATAGTTTCAGTGGCGTAGCGAGGTCGGGTGTAACCCGGTGCGGCACTTAATGTTATAACCCCTCCCCCCTCCCCCAGAGGCGTAGCGACTCTTCCCGGAGACAAACTTTAAATTTTCGACGATTTGCATCCCCTCCTCAAACTTTCGATTTGCAACCCCCTCGAACTTTCGATTTGCACCCCCCTCGAACTTTCGATTTGCACCCCCCCCCCCCCTCAAATTTTTTTCTATATATTTTACTATTTTTTGCCTTGGTGTCACCTCCCTAAATGGTATCACCCAATGCGGCCCGCACCCCCCGCCCCCCTCCCTTGCTACGCCTCTGAATAGTTTTTACATTGGCATTGGCAAAAAAAGGCACCCCTCCCCCAGTTAGGAAAGGCGCTTTTTACCAGTCACTGTCCCTTGTTTTCATGTTGGAGTCACGCAATTGATGTAGAAAGCTGTTAAATAAGCCAGTTTGCCAATAATGGTTTTATGTTGGTGTCACGCAATTGATGTAGAAAGCTGTTAAATTAGCAAGTTTGCCAATAATGGTTTTTATGTTGGTGTCAGGCAATTGATGTAGAAAGCTGTTAAATAAGCCAGTTTGCCAATAATGTTTTTTTTGTTGGTGTCACGCAATTGATGTAGAAAACAGTTATATGAGCCAATTTGCCAAGTCACCGTCTATTTCCTTAACTCTTTGATTGTGTATAACGAGCTTAATTTTTTTACCCAGTTCAGCGTCCCTGAGGTCGGTGCCAGGTGCGGTCGCCCCACCTGCCTCCCCCTAGCTACGCCTCTACAAGTTAAGTACACATTTATTTACCTTGTCAACACAGATGACAATACATACTTTATTTTACTGTGAGAACTATTTGACGTGCTACAATGTAGCATTATTTAAATTATTTAGCAGACGTAAATTTTTAATACAAAGAATACCAAAACTTACTCGTATCTTAATTACTAATTACTGAGTTAGATATTTTGGTTACCGACTTGATCTCGAGTAGGCTTTACACCAGCGTAATTGTTTGCAGTGAAAATATTAAAAACCGATTTACCTTACATAAAATGTAATTTTAACATATCATTAATACTTCATATATGGCACAGGATTGTTAAAAGTATATGTAATTTAAAATTAAAAGAACCTAATACTAAAAGTACTTAAGTCATATTTTTTGTGAAAATAACCAAGCATTGATCGTTATTCCTCTAGTTTAACTTTATCTTATATACAAATAGTAATACTGAAGTATTTAATTAAGTTTCTTTTCCAAACAAACAAATAGTATAAAAACGTTATGTTTTATATGAAATTAAATTTTTGAACTCATTGTTCTCAAAATGTTGTTTTTTGTGACTTAGGTACATTTAGCACTAAGGTATTATTTTGTCTTACACTCTAGCAGCCAAACACAACTTGTGTAGTGGTTAATTTTAAATCAATGATGGTGAATAATTTCTCTAGCAATATTTTTAGAATTAATTCCGCGTAATTTAATTAAAGATTTACCTTCGACCGTCTTCTCTTGGTCGCCAGCTCTCAAACACAGTCCTTTACCGCTCATCAGCAGGTTTCTATGTGCAAATAGTATACTTAAATTAATTTTTTATCCGAGTTGGGGATATAAAACTATGGACTTAATGGTAGCAGTTAATTAAGTGAACTATACTTATGGTGGGTCCTTAACTACCTAGTAATTTCGCTGTGTAAATTGTTTACACATGTAGCTCTTATGCATGTGTAGTTATTTACTCATATAGCCCTTATACCCTATTTAGTTCCTATACCGTGTTACTTTATATCTATAAAACCCTTATAACTGTTTAGTCTATACAGAAATGTAGCCCATTTACCAGTGTAGCCCATTTAAACATGTAGCCCATATAAACATCTAGCCCTATACTGGTGTATCCCCTATACTAGTGTATCCCCTATATTCAATGTAGCCCATATACCAATGTAGCCCTTATACCCATGAAGCCCCTACGCTTATGTAGTCGCTATACCAATGTAGCCCCTACACTCACGTAGCCCCTGTAACCATATAGCCACTATACCCATGTAACCCCTATACTTATGTAGCTCCTATACCCATTTAGCCCGTATACCAACGTTAGCCCATACACCCATGTATCCCCTACGCCCATGTAGCCCCTACGCCCGTAGCCCCTACACCCATGTATCCCCTACGCCCATGTAGCCCCTACGCCCGTAGCCCCTACGCCCATGTAGCCCCTACGCCCATGTAGCCCCTACACCCATGTAGCCCCTACGCCCATGTAGCCCCTACACCCATGTAGCCCCTACGCCCATGTAGCCCCTACGCCCATGTAGCCCCTACACCCATGTAGCCCCTACGCCCATGTAGCCCCTACGCCCATGTAGCCCCTACACCCATGTAGCCCCTACGCCCATGTAGCCCCTACGCCCGTAGCCCCTACGCCCATGTAGCCCCTCCGCCCATGTAGCCCCTACACCCATGTAGCCCCTTTAACCATGTAGCCCCTTTAACCATGTAGCCGCTTCATCCATGTAGCCCCTACGCCCATGTAGCCGCTACGCCCATGTAGCCCCTACGCCCATGTAGCCCCTACGCCCATGTAGCCCCTACACCCATGTAGCCCCTTTAACCATGTAGCCCCTTTAACCATGTAGCCGCTTCATCCATGTAGCCCCTCCGCCCATGTAGCCCCTACACCCATGTAGCCCCTTTAACCATGTAGCCCCTTTAACCATGTAGCCGCTTCATCCATGTAGCCCCTACGCCCATGTAGCCGCTACGCCCATGTAGCCCCTACGCCCATGTAGCCCCTACGCCCGTAGCCCCTACGCCCATGTAGCCCCTACGCCCATGTAGCCCCTACACCCATGTAGCCCCTTTAACCATGTAGCCCCTTTAACCATGTAGCCGCTTCATCCATGTAGCCCCTACGCCCATGTAGCCGCTACGCCCATGTAGCCCCTACGCCCATGTAGCCCCTACACCCATGTAGCCCCTACGCCCATGTAGCCCCTACGCCCGTAGCCCCTACACCCATGTAGCCCCTTTAACCATGTAGCCCCTTTAACCATGTAGCCGCTTCATCCATGTAGCCTCTACGCCCATGTAGCCGCTACGCCCATGTAGCCCCTACGCCCAAGTAGCCCCTGTAACCATGTAGCCCCTATGCCTATACCCATGTAGTCCGTATAGCCTTGTAGCCCCTTCACTCGTGTTACCCTTTCATACATGTAGCCTACACCGTCCACAAACACACAATACAAAGTACTCCTTCAATCAAAATACGTTTTTTGAACAGGGATTCAGGATTGTAGCAAATAAATTATTTATATGTCAATCCCCGTTTGCCTTACTCAGTAATACACTACAGTAATACACTACAGTAATACACTACAGTAATACACTACAGTAATACACTACAGTAATACACTACGGTAATACACTATACATAAAATGCCGCTTATCTTTATTATCTTCATTAAATCCTAAATACGTAGGATCAAACATTAAATCATTGAAATGCTTAAAAATTTGCAGTTTAGCAGATGAGGTAAAATAAATCATGTCTTTCCGTCAGAAACCTTATACTAAACTAAATATTACGGCAATTGAAACGTGGCCTACATTATTGAAGTGTTACTAATGTCCTGTAAATATACTATGCTCAACATAATAATTACCGATTTGTGTCAACTTACAGAAGGGGAATTTTTCGCTTTGGCTGTTTGTCAGTGGTACTTTTTAGAGACTTTTCTGGATGTTGTTGGCGGTAAACTGTAGGATCTACCTCTATATATTCCCCTGAAGGTTGCTGCTTGTAAATTTTGTCAGTTATAGGAGGTGTAAGAAAAGGTTCTTTCTCTGGGAGTGCAGGTGTAGGTTCTTTCTCTGGGAGTGCAGGTGTAGGTTCTTTCTCTGGGAGTGTAGTTGAACGTTCTTTCTCTGGGAGTGTAGTTGAACGTTCTTTCTCTGGGAGTGTAGTTATTGGTTCTTTCTCTGGGAGTGTAGTTGAACGTTCTTTCTCTGGGAGTGTAGTTGAAGGTTCTTTCTCTGGGAGTGTAGTTATTGGTTCTTTCTCTGGGAGTGTAGTTGAACGTTCTTTCTCTGGGAGTGTAGTTGAACGTTCTTTCTCTGGGAGTGTAGTTGAACGTTCTTTCTCTGGGAGTGTAGTTGAAGGTTCTTTCTCTGGGTGTGTAGTTGAAGGTTCTTTCTCTGGGAGTGCCGTTGAAGGTTCTTTCTCTGTGAGTGCACATGAAGGTTCTTTCTCTGGGGTTAACCCTAAGTGTCTTGGCTCTGTGGATGTTACTGTAGGTTCTAGCTCTGGAGTTGTATTTGAAGGTACTGGCTCAGTGGTTGAGTGAGACAAAGGGACAGCAGTGGAAAGGTCACATGTAACTGAAAACATATTTTGGTTCTATTATCTTAATGTAGTTTCTCGAGAGCTTTTTTTTCTTCTGGGTGCTAGTCATACTGGCAAATATTGTGCATAAAAACGCTTTCATATAAAGCTTTTGTGTAATAATGTGCTAATAAGGAAACTATAAATTATTTTCTTTAAATATATATTAATACAATACAAATTAATACAATTTAAATATATTTAGAGAAAAGCGTGGGTCACTATTATTTTTGGAAACCTTTACTAACATTTATGAAGAGAAAGGAATCGGTCTGTTAGAAGTGATCGAAATCTCGCTTGTCAGTTTCGATCTGATACGAAGCACGACAAACAGAGAAAGCAAGTTAAATAAACGCGTGTAATAAAAGGCTTACATCTCTTAAAGAGAGTGTATGGTCTACGAGGATAGAACAGAACGTCTGGCACAGCATCTTTTCCAACGAGTTGAATACATTCACCAATGGCATAGGTGTACTTTATACACTGTGGGTTCTCTCTACAAGACTCGAAACAATGCTGTAGAGAACATCATGAAAAATACATTAGAAATCCTGACACGAAAATGGCAATGATAGGTAGATTTTGCTCTCCAACGCTTTTAATAATAAAATACTTAAAAAAAACTTTTCAAAAAACCACGTTTTTCTTGTGGACTAAAAAGTAGAAAATAACTATTTACATACATTTGATGACAAAAAACGTGGGTACGTTCACCATCAAATTTCCCGACCCATCTGCCCGACCCACGTTTTTTGTCATCAAATGTATGTAAATAGTTATTTTCTACTTTTTAGTCCACAAGAAAAACGTGGTTTTTTTAAAAGTTTTTTTTAAGTATTTTATTTTCTCCTTTTTAGTCCGTTGCTACACATGAAAAACGTGGTTTTTAAAAAGTTTTTTATATAGTTTATTTTCTACTTTATCTAATCACTTGATTAAGTATGACTTGACTAAGTGTTTTTAAATACACGGACTAAAAAAATCTTGAGCGACCGATACGCTTTAAACAGAGAAAGTGTGTAATTTACGTTGCTGGCGTGGAGATCTACTCACGAATCACGTGATCAAATCTCCCATAAACAAACAAATAAACGCGAAGCTGAGTTAAGGAAAAACGTGTTTATGTGTATTTTAGCATGCCCAGCGTACCAACCGTGTCACCGTTAACAATGTGTTACCGTGTCCGTTCTCCTTTTTAGTCCGTTGGTACACATAAAAAACGTGGTTTTTTTTAAAGTTTTTTTTAAGTATTTTATTTTCTCCTTTTTAGTCCGTTGCTACACATGAAAAACGTGGTTTTTAAAAAAGTGTTTATAAATACACGGACTAAAAATCTTGAGCGACCAGGATTCGAACCTGGGTTGTCGCGGCCACAACGCGAAGTACTAACCACTATACGATCACGGCCAGCGCGCTTACATCGATTGGGGCCGAAGTAACTGTGTCAATAGGCCTCAAGTCTTGTCGGTATCTTTAGAAATCATGTCCTCAATTTTATGGTCCTTGGGGCGTAATTAAATTAAGCTAATTACGGTCACTAATTGCTAGTTTTTATGATTGCATCTGAAATTGTTAGGCAAAAGTAGCATGCATGCCAAATTTCAGGTCTCTAGAGCAATCAGAAGTGGGCTAATTTTCGATGTCAATTTTAACAACAAACAAACAAACAAACGCGAAGCTGAGTTAAGAAAAACGTGTTAATAAAATACTTTAAAAAAAAACTTTTTAAAAAACCACGTTTTTCTTGTGGACTAAAAAGTAGAAAATAACTATTTACATACATTTGATGACAAAAAACGTGGGTACGTTCACCATCAAATTTCCCGACCCATCTGCCCGACCCACGTTTTTTGTCATCAAATGTATGTAAATAGTTATTTTCTACTTTTTAGTCCACAAGAAAAACGTGGTTTTTTAAAAAGTTTTTTTTAAGTATTTTATTTTCTCCTTTTTAGTCCGTTGCTACACATGAAAAACGTGGTTTTTGAAAAGTTTTTTATATAGTTTATTTTCTACTTTATCTAATCACTTGATTAAGTATGACTTGACTAAGTGTTTTTCAATACACGGACTAAAAAAATCTTGAGCGACCGATACGCTTTAAACAGAGAAAGTGTGTAATTTACGTTGCTGGCGTGGAGATCTACTCACGAATCACGTGATCAAATCTCCCATAAACAAACAAATAAACGCGAAGCTGAGTTAAGGAAAAACGTGTTTATGTGTATTTTAGCATGCCCAGCGTACCAACCGTGTCACCGTTAACAATGTGTTACCGTGTCCGTTCTCCTTTTTAGTCCGTTGGTACACATAAAAAACGTGTTTTTTTTTAAAGTTTTTTTTAAGTATTTTATTTTCTCCTTTTTAGTCCGTTGCTACACATGAAAAACGTGGTTTTTAAAAAAGTGTTTATAAATACACGGACTAAAAATCTTGAGCGACCAGGATTCGAACCTGGGTTGTCGCGGCCACAACGCGAAGTACTAACCACTATACGATCACGGCCAGCGCGCTTACATCGATTGGGGCCGAAGTAACTGTGTCAATAGGCCTCAAGTCTTGTCGGTATCTTTAGAAATCATGTCCTCAATTTTATGGTCCTTGGGGCGTAATTAAATTAAGCTAATTACGGTCACTAATTGCTAGTTTTTATGATTGCATCTGAAATTGTTAGGCGAAAGTAGCATGCATGCCAAATTTCAGGTCTCTAGAGCAATCAGAAGTGGGCTGATTTTCGATGTCAATTTTAACAACAAACAAACAAACAAACGCGAAGCTGAGTTAAGAAAAACGTGTTAAAAACGTGTTAAAAACGTGTTAAAATTGTATTAGCTTTGTATACGTTAAATTATGTTGAAATTATTTTAATTCACTTATTTAGGGGAGCGGGACTTCTTGTTGATAATAAGTTTAGATGTTCTTGTAATAATTAGCTTAAACAATATCTGATTTTCTTAATGTTCTAATTGAAACAAAAACTTAATCTAAAGATTTTTAATTAAGATAATTTTATTGAAATTTACCTTTTGACTGATTGTGGCCATGCCGCTTGCTGAAATCTCTCCAGCGTAAACATAACATTGAGCTGGAAGAAAATATGTGTACGTTACTAAATATAATGTATCTTGATATAGATTTCAGAACATATACAAATACAATACACGGAGTGGGACGGAGTGGCCTAGCGGTAGAGAGCTAGACTGCTGAATCTCATGTTCGAATCCGGGTACCTCTGATGGGTACCTAACAATCGCTAGGGAAAGTAAAGGCGGCTGGGATTGTAAGGTCTAATAATGATTCTTTACTTTACTTTATATTTGAAGGTTCAACCGATATTAATTAATATTAATTAATTCTCTCAGCCCTCACCCTCTCACATTCTCGAATAACCAGAATTTGAAACTTGGCAGCCTTCCTAACGATGAGCATGAGAATAACAATTGAAGACCAAACAGAATAAACCACAGATGTCCAACAATGGTGTTCAATGATAACATACACAATAGTAGTTTATTTATATTGAATTAATCAACCATTTCCAAGCCTATTATAAAATCATCATACTTAAAATGAACAGAAATAGTCGATAAGTTGTCGATGTGTTTAAAATTCACTCATTTTCGTTCTGTAACTTAAAATTTAGTAAATTTGAGAAATAATAAGTGTATAAGGTTGCAGCTTGCCCTACAATACAAATAGTATAATATTGTAAGCGTTGGATGGAGAGAAATATGCGTAACAGGAAATCTGAACAAACGGAAAACTGCACACAAAAAAAGTGCGAAATGTTTTTATTGTTTTCTTAAATAAAGCATTTATAGAATTACCACATGTCCATTCCGCGAAATATGACGAAATTAAAGTCTATAAGTATAATTAGATTGTATTTGCGATTTTTTCGGTTTGTGCAGTTTTTACAAGCTTTTATTTAACTCACTTCCTCGTCAGTCTGTCGTCAGTCGTCAGTCTAGATCGAAACGCAGGAGTGAAAATTCGGACAGTTCTACTTGACCGATACGATTCACAGTTGGCACGTGGGTCAAGACATGAAGACAATGCAATCTGAAACTAAACTTGACATAATTGGATGCCTAATTAATTTTTTATGAATTAATTAAAATTTGGACCGAATTACTAGGCATGTCTATTCAGCCACACCACACGCGTCCTCACGTTCAATAGCTGCGCCATCAGGTTCAATAGCTGCGCCATCACGTTCAGTAGGCACGCAATGGTTTTTAGTCATGTAACATTATTGTAAATAAAGCATGTAAAGTACTGAAAAAAAATTCATAAAAAAACGTTTTAATAACAAGCTTTTATGTAATGATGCACTAAAAAGTAGAAAATAAATTATACACTACTATTTAAATTACTATAAAGAAAAGCGTGGGTCTCTTCTCAAATATTAGTAAAGGTATCCAATAGGTACTAAAGTGACCCACGCTTTTCTTTATAGTAATTTAAATAGTAGTGTATAATTTATTTTCTACTTTTTAGTGCATCATTACATAAAAGCTTGTTATTAAAACGTTTTTTTATGAATTTTTTTACAAGCTTTTATTTAACTTGCTTCCTCTGTCGTCAGTCGTCAGTCTAGACCGAAACGCAGGAGTGAAAATTCGGAAACTTCTACTTGACCGATACGATTCACATTTGGCACGTGGGTCAAGACATGAAGACAATGCAATCTGAAACTAAATTTGACTTAATTGGATGCCTAATTAATTTTTTAAGAATTAATTAAAATTTGGACCGAATTAGTAGGCATGTCTATCCAACCACACCACACGCGTCATCACGTTCCATAGCTGCGCCATCAGGTTGAATAGCTGCGCCATCACGTTCAATAGACGCGCAATGGTTTTTAGTCATGTAACACTATCTATATATATAATTCTCTTCTTCGAGCCGCTAGCAAACAAGCTGCAAACGCGCCTAGAAAACAAGCTGTAAACGCGCTTCCTACCTCCCCACCCCTACATGGTTTTAGTGAGCTGTGTTCACTCTAAATGTTTACAAGCAGAGCCAACGATTTTAAACGTAGGGGGGGGAGGGGGGAAGGAAGGGGGGGGGGTTATGGTCCTTAACGAGCTACTTATAGTGTTTTAAAGAAATATTTTCAGTGGCAGCGTTGGTGCTGTCGAATTCACAAATTATGAATTACTGAAAAGTAGAAAAAACAACAACTAAATAGCGGCGTATGTTATGCCGCGGGCCGGCTCGTTGTAAATAAAACATGTAAAGTACTGAAAAAAATTCATAAAAAAACGTTTTAATAACAAGCTTTTATGTACTAATGCATTAAAAAGTAGAAAATAAATTATAGACTACTATTTAAATAACTATAAAGAAAAGCGTGGGTCTCTTCTCAAATATTAGTAAAGGTATAAAATAGGTACTAAAGTACTAAAGTGACCCACGCTTTTCTTTATAGTAATTTAAATAGTAGTGTATAATTTATTTTCTACTTTTTAGTGCATCATTACATAAACGCTTGTTACTAAAACGTTTTTTATGAAAAAAAAATTCTGTTTGTGCATTTTTCTGGGCCTCAAGGGCTTTAGTTACTTACGCGCATCAGAAGGGCACAGGACGTACCCTTCTGTCGGTGGGTCTGAGGCTTTATCAATCATATCCCCGCCGTACCTAATATAACACGTGTCATCAAATTGATAAGAAATGCAGGTAGGGCTTTCTTTACACGATACAAAGCAGCTCTAGAGATTGGTACAGCAAAAAAAAATAATTTTACATTTGAATTAAAACGGCAAGTCAGTTGAATGTCCCTGAGTCCACCCAGTTCTGATGGGTACCAGGAGAATGTTTCTGAGTTAACCAAGCTATAATGGGTACCTTACTCGCGTTAGGGAAAACGAAGGGGGTTGGGCATAGTGCTGACTACACTATCCTTTAATATGAATCAGATGAACTCTACTTCATTTGCCTCCCGTGCCTTGGTCACGAACGAATAAGACAAAGAGATGAAGTTCACATAAAATAAATTATACTAAGATCTCTAAAATAATGAGATGAAGTTCACATAAAATAAATTATACTAAGATCTCTAAAATAATGAGATGAAGTTCACATAAAATAAATTGTACTAAGATCTCTAAAATAATGAGATGAAGTTCACATAAAATAAATTGTACTAAGATCTCTAAAATAATGAGATGAAGTTCACATAAAATAAATTGTACTAAGATCTCTAAAATAATGAGATGAAGTTCACATAAAATATATTTGTACTAAGATCTCTAAGATAATGAGATAAATTCACATAAAATAAATTGTACTAAGATCTCTAAGATAATGAGATGAAGTTCACATCAAATAAATTGTACTAAGATCTCAAGTACGAAATAGCTTGATTTATGCCTATGACACTGTGCGATAAATCATTGGCCTTCCAATTAGTTTATCCAGTCTTGGAAGTAGATAAATTAATTAGATTTAAACCAATAATGAGTATTGTATTAATGAGATGTGACGTTATTTTGTAGTAATATTTAACAGTCCTGTTGCTAATTCAATTAATAATATTTTTTATAAATTACTAAATTGATTTTTAAAGTTTATTGTTTTTTTCATTTAGTCACCAGCAGATTTATATCTAAGAAAAAATAACTACAGTATCGTAAAAAAGTGAGTGGGGTCGGATAGATGTGTCTTGAAAACTAACATTCACTCTAATATGCGAACAATTGTTTCGGGCATTCCTCTTACATGGTTTTTACTTTCCACTGTAACTAAATTAAATCTTAATCAAAATTAATTTAAAAAAAATGCTTTACCTTGTGTGTTGCTAGATCCATATCTTCCAAGAAAGTGTCACTGTAAACATCACAGTCTGTAAAAACGTAAATGGTAACTTTATACATAATATATATATATATATATATATATATATATATATATATATATATATATATATATATATATATATATATATATATGTGTGTGTGTGTGTGTATGTGTGTGTGTGTGTGCATTATACATAGTTCAGGATAAACTATTAATAAAAACGCTATATCCCTAAAATAAACAGGATTATGAACACGTTTTTTTTACTACTCTAACCAACTTAACCGATTTTGATCTGTTATTCACGAAAGCTTAAATGATCAGATTTACGAACCCAGAAACATTAACACTCTTAAGAAAAAAAAAACAATTTTTCAATTACAAGACCATTTAAAAACAAGAAGCACTGAGAAAAAAGACAACAAAACAAACTCACAACAAGAGGGGACCACGCTAACAGTTTCCTCGACAAAAAGATTACGACAAAACGGCCCACAAATTGAATCCCTAAACTTACTGTAATTCTCGATGAACGAAGTAAAAACAAAGTGATTAAATGCAATTTTTTATACAGTTCTTACCCACAGCAGTAGTGAAGTGACCTAGCAAACAAAACGTGGATAGGAAAATTATAAGCTTCATGGTATCTGACAACGTAGTAGTATTTCAGGAACACTGTGTTCTATCTGAAATCAACAAACATGTTTAAAAATTTAGAATTCCACTTAATCTCTTCTTAAAGATATAATCCTATTCTAAATAATGTACATTAAGACGTTTTTAAAATGCATTTTTAAACAATTATTTTATTTAATAAAACAACAGAAAAGTTAATTCACTTTCTTTCATAAAATATGTGGTATTAAAAAAAAATTAAAATTCTACTTTATCTCTTCTTAAATGATATAATCCTATTCAAAATAATGGACGTTAAGAAGTTTTTAAAATGCATTTTAAAACAATTTTTTTATTTAATAAAACAACATAAAAGTTAATTCACTTTCTCGTGAAATATGTGGTAATTAAAAAAAAATTTAAAATTCCACTTTATCTCTTCTTAAAGATATAATCCTATTCAAAATAACGGACGTTAAGACGTTTTAAAAATACATTTCTAAACAATTATTTTATTTAATAAAATAACAAAAAAGTCTATTCACTTTCATGAAATATGTGGTAGTTTATGGGATAGAATTTCAGACGTGTTTCCCCAACAGTCGTCCGAAATTCACTGAGC